TCAGAATGTCAGTATTACATCGACAAACTGGAGTATCTGAATGAAAGGCAGAAGGATCCTCGAATTGAAGCAAGCAAAGTATTGCTTTGCCACGGGGAGCTGAAGAATAAAAATGGACGTGTAAGTGTATCTTAGAACTAATAGGAAATGAGCCATTTCTACCCTTTCTCACTGTTTGTTTCTACGTAGATTATGAAGCAGGTTGTAAAATAAACTCATCAAATAGTGAAAGGAGGTTACTGGTTTTTGTTCTTTGTTACCAGCTTCCATAACGTAAACATTTGGTTTCTGTCTTTACAGAATAACTTAAATGTCTCTGGAGAATCAATAATATTTTACTTTTTAGTTTTGGAGCATAAATCAATTTGGCTAGCAGTTTTTCTGAATAAATTATTAGTTCCATGTTTCATAAAAAAATAACATCTGTCAGAAAATTTTTCTGAAGAGTTGGTAGTGATGGAAGTAGTTTTACCATTACTAACCAGATTCCTGCAGCAGACTACCTGGAAGCAAACTTACTTTTAGAATTTTAATTGAAAAAGTACCTGCCAGAGGTGACTATAAGCATGAGTGGTATTTTTTCTTGCATTATTTGCTTTTCAGAAGCACGATTAATAAGTTGAGATTCTTTTTGGAAAAAGATGAAATCTGACATCTCTGATTTATACTGTGAGTCCCAGCTGTTCTATAAAGGCTTAAATTTGTGTGGGACAAAGGAGAACCATTAACATTTTTACAAGCTTGCATTGTTTAAATCCTTACTTTGTTAGAAAACTTTGGTATACAATACCGGTCTTTCCAGTCATGTTCCTACTGATAGGCCATTGTGGGGTGCAGTGTTTACTCTGCTGCTACCTCATCTAATGTTATATGCCAATGAAATGTTTTTATAGTCTAAGATAAGACAGGCTTTCCAAGCAGAATATGTATAGCCTTAGAATCCTCCTATTTCTGAGGTCATCTACAAGGAGAATCTCAAATAAATGTGATGAGATCAATCATGTCTAAATTCCAATCACTTAAAATCACAGGGTTCCACATGTAGGAAGTACTTGTTTTTCATTTCTGCAGAAATTTTACATTTTCCTGTTTCAAGACATCTTGGTTTTGACTCGGGCTGTTACACGAAATGAACGTCACTCTTACCAAGTTTACCAACAACCAATATCCGTACAAGAGCTGGTCTTGGAAGACCTGCACGATGGAGATATGAGAATGGGATGGTCCTTTCGAGGGGCTTTCAGCAGTTCACATATAGGTAAAGATACAAATTGTAAAATTTTTTAAATTAACAAACTGAGAACTTAAGTACATTTAGTTTTAATCTTTAAAAATTCTGAGATTAAAATATAGGATACATTAAAAAATTCACACAATTCAACACCCCCAAAAAAACCTGATTTAAAAAATGAGAACCTGAATGGACATTTTCTGAAGATGTACAGATGGCCAACAGACACATGAAAAGATGTTCCGCATCACTAATCATCAGGGATGTGCAAATCAAAACCACATGAGATACCACTTTACACTAGTCAGAATGGCTAGTATTAAAAAACAAACAAATAACAAGTATGGGGAAGATTGTGGTGCACTGCTGGCGAGAATGTAAATTGGTGCAGCCTCCATGGAAACAGTATGGAGGTTCCTCAATCACTTACAGAGAGGAATACCATATTACTCAGTAACTCCACCTCTGGATACTTAACTGAAGAAAACAGAAACACTAATTCAAAGATATGTGTACCCCTATGTAAACTGCAGCACTATTTACAATGGCCAAGATATGTGTCCATCAATAGATAAATGAATGAGGAAGATGTGGATACATGGGCAATAACTCAGCCATAAAAAAGAATTAAATCTTGCCATTTGTGACAGCATGGATGGACCCAGAGGATATTGTGCTAAGTGAAAAAAGAGAAAAACAAATAGCATATGATTTCACTTCCATCATACAGCATCTGAAAAACAGACAAAACAGAAATAGGCTCATTCAGACAAAGAATAGGTGGTTGCCATGGTGGGGTGGGGTAGTAGGCAAAATAGGTAAAGGGAATAAACAGGTGCAAACTTCCAGTTACAAATTAGCCATGGACTGAAGGTACAGCATGGGGAAAATAAAAGAGAATTGTGTCTCCACACAAAAAATTACAAATGAAAGGATTCCATTGTCCTATAGCTGCTGCTGTCATCAAGTTGTGCTCTGACACCAGTAGGTGCATCTAATAAATAATGTCCCAAGGCTTTATTTAATGCATCCATCTAACAAGTGTACATGTATAGAAATTCCAGCACCCACACCAAGATTATATGACCACTTTATCTACACAAACTGTTTTTAAGTCTGATTTCCTTTCTTTTTTCCAATTTTTTTCTTAGCTAAAAATATCTTTGGAGTTGGCTTCCAAGACCCCTCTTCAGACCAGTCTCACACTCTGCAAGCCAATGATGTGTTCCACAAGCAGCAGTGGTTCAACTGTATTCGAGCCACCATAGCCCCTTTCCAGCAGGCCACCAGTCCAGCCGAGCTGCAGGGTTTGCCCGGGCTCCATGAGGAGTGTGTCGAGAACAACCCCTCCGCAGGGTATGTCGAAACCCATAGAAGGGCATCTGCAGCATCCAGTGTGACTCAGGTCAAAGGTGATGGGGACGCTTCAGCGTGTATCTCCCCTGCATGTACCACAGACGACATGAAGAGTGTCAGAGCACACCGAGCACAGCCTGGCTTCCCAAAGCCAAGGGACAAATCTCCATTGGGTGGTGAATGGAAAGAGACTTCAGTATAAAGGAAGTTCTGTGTGTTGCTGGTGCAGAGTCTGTTTAGTTATAAATGTATACAGTTTGGGTTTTCTTGTAATGTGAGCATGGGAGCGTTGCAGGGTTACTTAATACTAGTCTTAACATTTTCTGTTTTTGTTTTTTGTTTTTTGTTTAAATGGCAGCTAAAGATACATATACAGATTACTGTTAAAACTGCAACCTTTTTTAAAGATACATTCTCATAATTTCGAACATTGAAGCCTGGTATTTTTAATCAAATGAAATATTTATGGAATGGGTTTCTTCTTCATTCTAAATTCATCAGGACGTTCCAATAACTACCTATTGTGATATTTACAATATCTACCAAACCTTAAAATTTTGCAAATACTGGGACTTTACCAGTGTTTCTTTGATAAACTGCATGCGCAGAATTTGAAATTTTAACATTGGCTCCTAAAATCTACACAGAATACAGGTGTGTAATACATTAGAATTTATACTGAAACGTAAGTTCCTTTTGAAACAAAGTGTATAAAACTTTATACAGATCTTCCATTTTATCAACTGGAATACTTTATACTAGTTTTTTTCACTACACATTCCTCATTTTTATTCACTTAACCTGCCAATTATTTAATTTTTTTTTATTATAAAGTAGTTTTCAGTATTTACTTTATTTTTTTACTTTGATACCTTTACAGATTGGTAGCATTTATTTGTCCCCGTTGATAAAAATGTGTACATATGTGCATATATATATATGTGTGTGTGTGTGTGTGTGTTTTAAATCATATTACCTTTATCAACTGAAACCAAGCAATACTGTTTTTGAGCCAATTAAGAAAATTGCGATTTTTCAAGTGTAGAATTGCAAGGTGGTGAACACACATGAACTGACTCGGTGTATTCTGGACTACTGAATACACTGAGTATATATTAAGTTATAGAAGGCTTGGGGAAAGAGAATTTTATTTGTTGGTTTATAATACCTGCAAATAATGAGTTTGAAAAGAAGTAGGTGTGTTGAAAATCTGACCATATTATATCAATTTTTGTGAATTTATTCATACGAGGGAAAAAGTAATGAATCTTTTACTCTAAAATATTTCTGTTCAAATGAGATCATAGTCTTTAAGTGGAGGACTAAATGCTCTGTGTCACAGCAGACTTATAATGTTGATCATTCAAGGATATGTTGACTATTCTGTGAACTATATTTGACCAGCACAAGTGAAAATGGAGAAAGATTGTAAATAGATCAGTCCAAATGACTTCTCTGTATAAATGAATTATACAATTAAAAAAGCACACACATAAAAAGCCCTTAAAAGCTTCCTGGCAGGTAGATATTTGAGAGACATGTGCCAGAATGTGTTGGTATGGCAAAGGAGGTCATGCCAAGTCTCATAAGGTTTTAAAAATCATAAATACTTAAACCTTTGAAATTCATTGGTAAGAGAAAGATTCAATTAAGTTTTGTGACTTATTAAACCATTTAGAAAGCAGTATAATCACAAATAGCAATCAGATTGAAGAGGGGTGAACATCTAGCCACTTTCAGGATATACTTGTAAATCTAATAGCAAAGCATCCTGATTTGACTAATTAAAGGTTTTAATTTAGGGATCTCAGGTTTCAGAGTTTGGATATTCAAAGTCAAATGTGTAGTTTATACTAATGTTCTCATCAGAAAGCAAGTTTCTAACCATTTCTAGAGATGTTATATAGATTATCATTCCAGAATTACCTTGATCAGCTTCTAAAGTTATATAAGCAAGTAGTACTTCAAACATTCCATCCTTGGGGCAATACCTGATAATCACTGACCTAGCCAACAGTCATTATGTAAATGATACATAAGTACTGACATACATCTACTGTCTTCAGCTTGCCTAAGCTGTTCAGAGTCTGAGTTGAAGGTAGCCTGATTTTTCTTTTTGAACTTCATAAAAAACAGTGAGTGTGCTTTTATATTTAGGAGCAAAAGATAGTCTCCACCTGGCAAAGTCTTTTTAAAGCTATGCTCCATCCTGGGATGTGTGCTTACAAGGTGGTAAGGGAAGCTAAGGCATCTGATAAACTAGTAGTCAGTGGGGTCATAGTGTCACTGAATCACCCATGAATCAGCACTGGCCATTTCCTCACCTGCCTCAGGAGGTGGGGACTAGCTACCTTTGTGCTGGCTTGTCTGCCTTTATGATTTTCTGAATATGCAGATCCAGCACAGTACTTGGTTTTTAATTATATATATATATGTGTGTGTGTGTGTGTGT